GGGCTCGCATCGACGTCGGCGAAAGAAGATCGCCGCCTAGATCAGGATGGCCAGCCCTGGCTCTGTCAAGGGGCTTCTGCGTGACAGCCCTATGCGGCCTATGAGCGCCACCGCGGTCGCTGGAGAGGCGAGGCCTACTGAACTGAAGATGTCTCGCATCCAGCACCCTGATATCCTTGAATTCAATATGCCTGGCCTCCCTTGGAGAGAAAGGGGTCCTGGACCCTGGTGCCTTCCCCTAAGACGAGATCTTCATCCTGAGTCGTTTTCTAACATTACAGTCCCGGAGCCCGTGGAGGCCCCCGAGAGCCCGAAAACTTTAAAACCCAGGACCCGTTTCCCTCAGGACCCGTTCCCCATGGCGAACATGCTTGGCCTCCGTCGTCGTCGCCGCCGCCGCAGGCCGTCTTCGGCCGTCGTCGTTGCCGTCGTCACCGGCGCCGCGGCAGTCGCCGTGGCGGCGGCGGCGGCGGGGGCGGCGGCTGCGGGCGTCGGCGGCGGGCGGCAGTGGTGATGGCCGCCGTCGGCGGCGGCGACGCTGTCCTATCCATCAACGGGTGGCGATATATCTGAGCCCTACCCCAACCAACCATCGATTCTCCTGAACCGTTGGGAGGCGGGGGTAGGGTTCGGATTGCCCCACGTGTTCGACGCATTCCGAACCCTACCCCCCCGCCGCCCATCGAGTTGCCCGAATCGTTGATCGGCGAGGGTAGGGTTCGGATGTTCCGCTTAGCAAGCCTGCAGGCAAATCTGGGGCAAAACCGATGCAGTCTGGGACACATTTGTAAGTCCGCGGCCGCCAAGTGGTCCAAGACAGCCAGACGCCCGTCAGCAAGTGGTGGGATACACCGGAAGCGAGTTGAGGCACGAAAGCGGAAGGGACAAAACACAAGGGGGACAGCTTTGGGACACGCGCCCTTGCAAAGGCCACCCAGCAACACGCGCAATTATCTGAAGGCGTCTCTGTGAACCCAGCCAGGTGTCCTTGTTACGAGGAGGAGGAGAAGGAAGAGGAGCAGGAAGAGGAGAAGGAGGAGGAAGAGGAGCAGGAGGAGGAATGGGAGGATTAAGAAGAGGAGGAGGAGGAGGAGGCGGAGAAGGAGGAGTGGTGTTCGCATGGATGACCCCCAACCCCAACCCCACGGCGGCGCCGCCCCGCCCGCGCCGCCTTGCCCCAAGAGAAGCGATGCTAGCATTTGATATCTTTGCGGCGCTGCCGTCGCCAAGCGGACCCCCATCCACTCGTCGTGGTCGCTGTCCTGGTCGGCGTCGCTGTCGTCACCAGCATCATTTCGTCGCCGTCGCCTTCGTCGCCGCCACCGTCGCCGCTGTCTTCGCCGTCGCAGCCGACTTCGCTGTCGCCGCCGTCGTCGTCGCCGTCGTCGCAGTGGCCCTTGTCCGTGAATGATCCACTTGCTCAAACGCTTCGGGGTCTGCTTTGGGGGTGCGTTCGGGTGCGCGTACTCAACGCAGACAGCGGGATCAGCTTGCTTCCATGGACAACACAAAACTCACGTCATCATGAGCTGCATCCCCCAAAAAAAAACCCTGGCGAATTGGCATGGTCAGACTCTGCCCCTTTCTGGCCCGCGGATGCGACGCGTGACGCCTGACCCCATCCGGAAGGGAACCGCGTGGGGGCCCGACGCGGGGCGGGAGGACTCTCCCTTGGGCGCAGGCCTGGGATCCCAGCAACGCGGGCGCCGCCGCTCAAGATTGCCCCGGTGGGATGCGTGCGCGCCCGCTCTGGCAGAACAACCCCATCAGACCTCCCTCCTCCGCCACCTGTTTCGGGATTCGATCCACCTCCCCATTCCTCCTCCTCCTCCTCCTCCTCCTCTTCCTCCTCCTCCTCCTCCTCTTCTTTTCCCTCCTCCACTCTTCGTTGTCTTTTCTTTCTCCTCCTCCTCTTCCTCCTCCTCCTCCTCCTTCTCCTCCTCGTCAGCCGTTATGGCACAGGCGCTGGCCCTGCACTTGCAGCAGCATGCACATTCAGAACGGCCAGGTGATGTTGCGAGCCTGTTGGCTTTCCCAGACAGTTCAGTTTGAGGGATCTCAACCCTCACCCTCTCGAAGGGCTATCCACCACGATATATTTCCTCGGATTGTTGGCGCCATGGCTCCTGCTCATTGGGACAGTGTTGCTACACCGCCCTGGCGACAGAGGCGATGGGGTGGCTCGTACCGCCTTCACTCAGCGGGCCAAGCTGGAGGAGGGACAGTCTCAGAGAGCTGGAACGACGGATGGCACACGATCGCCAACAGCAAAGGAGACATGATATGCAATCACTGTGGCTGCAGAAAGAATCCCAAGGGCGCCTTGCACGGCAAGCGCTGCGGTGCACGCTTGGGAACACAGCCGCCAGAGTCTGATCTTGGTGGCGGGCTGCCGTCCAAGAGCGACTCTGACGCAAAGGGCAAGGGCGGCAAGAAGGGCGGTGATGTCAAAGGGGGAGGGGGCGGCAAGGGCCCAAGCCAGTCTGGCCCAGGCCTTACGCCCATGCCACCTGGCTCCCTCCCCTCGATCGCTCCCGATAAGGCCCAGACATTGCAGCGTCTGGCACAAGAAGCAGGGGATGAGGAGGGCGCTCGCCGCAACGCGGCGCTTGCTGCGAGACCCCCAGCGGGATCACCGACCAACGCCCGCCAGCGCCTCACCCAGGCCGAGAAGAAGCAGCATCACCTTGAGAAGCAGCTCAGCAACGAATATGACAAGCTCCAGGGGTGGCGAAAGGACGTCGGTGACCTCGCTGCCAAGGCCAAGCACGTTGAGAATGAGCTCCAGACTGCTGACATGGACGCACGGGACGCACTCGAGGATATCCAGAAGCTCCACGGAGGACGACCAGAACCAGTCGAGCCGAAAGCCAGTCTGCGTCACCTGGTGGAGGGCAAAGTGGAATTGGGTTCTATCATTACGTGTGAAGGTTTCATCCTGGATCTGGATCAGATCAAGGAGTCCTACGACATCGACGACCATGATATCAAGGAGCTGGAGAGGAGAGAGACTGCGGCGGCTTCTCAGACGCAGGCTGTCCCCCAGAACCTGCGCAAGGAGGACACGTGCAAGGCCGACGCTCAACGGGAGGATCACAAGAAGCACATGGAGCGCCTCGACGGGAAGAAGCGCAGGTCAGAGCCTGTCCCGCCCCATGATGGAGGCCAAGGGCCCGCTGGATCCTCAGGAGCGGCAGGCCCCGAGGCCCGGGCTGCGGCTACCGCGCAGCCAGTTCCAGCCGCCCCTGGGGATAGCCAGCCATCCCAGCCCCCGC